AATATAATCCCATTTCCCCTTCAAATAACTGAAGACAGCTATCACTTCCCTCCTTGGGCTAAATATTCTTCCTTTCACTCTTCCTTCCGTGGAGACTGATCTTGGGGTCTTTGACCACCCTAGAGTCATCTCTGCTCTCCTTAACTTTTGAGTGTCTTTCTTCCTAAAACATGGCACCAGGGATTGAACACAATGCTCCAGACAAGGTCTGAGCTCAGCAGAGGACAGCAAGAACAAGGGTCGCCTGAAGAGCCCTAGACACCAGGCCTCTTGATACGGTCTAAGGTCATCTTAAGATTTTTTTGACTGCTATTACTTGCTGTTGAATCCTACTGAGCTCAAAGTGCTACAGCACCCCTTCTATTTTCCAAGACCTAAATATCAGCAATGGAGTAGCTCAGCAATCACACCCAAGTTCTTTCAGACTCTAGACAATTATTTATCCAAGTCCTGGTGACCTGAACCTGGTGAAGGCAGAATAGACACTGTCTGACCACCCTCTTAAGGCATCTAGGGTTCCCACTTCCTCATAACCATTTTTTGGACATAACTACGTAGGACAAAGGATATTCTCCTTAGAAGAGAAAATGGGAAAGAGCTGACTTCTTCAACTTTCTCCACGTCATTCATTATCATTATCTTTGTGGTCCTATGGCCATCCTCTGATCCTTCTAACCTCAACACAGCTAAAATTAATGAAAAGACAAACAAGCCCTTTTTTGGATGTGTTTAGCATTCATCACTATTTTCACGTCATTCTGGAGCTTGGAACTCTTGATACTATCCTTTCAGGACTGTGCCACTAAGAGGTAGGGAGGTGTATTGAGTAGAGCCTGTCTCAGACATGAAGATCCACACTCAAGTTCTGCCACTGGCTGGGTAACTAATCTGCTATAATACAAAGATTCTAGTGCTTAAAGGCTTACCCATAACTTTCCTTGATGGGTAACATGAGCATTACCTTCATTTTACAGATGAGCAGAAATTTGTCCAAAGTCCTGCAGCCGAGTGGCAGAGCCAGGAATCAAACAAACCCCTGTCATCCGACTCCAAGTCTAGTGCTCCCCCAAGTCTACATGTCTGGGGCCATGTTGTTTTCCCTCTGCTTCCCAACAAACAAACTACAAGTAAACTCCTTGCTTTCCTCTCCCCCACTTGGCAGGGGGACCTCATCCAGTTATACACATTAAAACATTTGATGTCTATTTATCCTTAATCAAGACTGGTATTTCAGCTCTGGCCAGAGACAGATGATGGCCCATCCAAAATTGCTACTCTATTTTACAAGGTCTCAAAAGCAGAACAAAATTACACACCATCTGCACAACAACAGACCACCTGCAAGCTGCCTGTAGGAACATGGAGAGGTTAAAAAATTACCCTTTCTCTGTCCACAGTTCTATGTTCTGGGTTGAAGACGAGAGTGCATCTGTCAGCCCACACACACTGAAAATAAAAAGCCCGCTGAACCCTATCTTGCTAATGTTGCCAGAATTGTCAGTGAAGGCTGAAAGGCTGTCTCACATCGGGTTAGGGAGCCTGGCCGTTGGTTACATGCTCTCCTAAAGAGCAAGCAGCAGTTGATCCTGGAAAGCTTTGTTTCATCGTGAATATGGCTTGTTAAACATCACCTCCAAACAGAAATGGGTTTTGTTTCTCTAAAATGCAAGTCTCAACTTCGCTTTGGAGTCGGTAGCTAGGCCGGCCAGACAGAATGCAGAGCTTCCAGATCAATGTTGTTAAAATCCAAACAGACCGTCTATTACAAACCTTGTGAGTGACACAGTGACTTGGCTTTAAAATGTACTATCTCAATTTTATTGCATTTTTATTTATTTTGTTAAATATTTCTCAATGACATTTTAATCTGGCTCTGGCCACACTTGGGAGTGCCCGAGGGCCATGTTTTGTATCACCGTCCTGGACTAACTAGACAGACTGTTACAGCCAATGCAACCAGAAGGCTCCCATTGGATGACCAACCCCAATTGCAGTTAAGATCTGGGCTTGAATAATTAACAGCCGCGTGCCTCTAGGAAAGTCCCGTCATCTCTCTAAGCCTAAATTTCCTCATCTATACAATAGGGACAACAATAGTACCTAAGTCCCAGTTGTGATGAGGATCAAATGACAGACTCGATGCCTATGAAATACTTAGCAAACCTCAAAGGGCTTTATAAATGTGAGTTATCGTCATTACCCGCATGGCCCTTTGCACTTCGTCAATTTTTTTTTCCTTTTTTTGATTCTCCTAAGGGAAGGTAATATTGTTCCCACTTTACAGATGAGGACACTGAAGCCCAGAGGAGAATTTACTCAGTCACATAACTGATTCCTCATATTACATGTGAAATCTATCATTGTGAAGGCAGGAAGAATTAAGGACAGCATTGGGATAGGTGGCCATGGTGTGCTGGAGAGAACACTGGACTTGGAGTAAGAACTGGATATGAATCCCAGTGCCAGCAGTACTTTGTACTGAATGAAGCAAGTAAGCTCCAGGAATCCCAGGCAAAACGAAAGCGCACAGCCTAAGAGACCCCGCAGGATTCAGAAGTGGCCAGGGTATGGCAGAGAGGTGAAAGAAAAGATTCACACTTACTCCCGAAGTGTGAGGGATTCAACAATTCAACAATTTTTATTAAGTGCCTATGATGTGCCAGGCACTGGGCCAGGCACTCCGGATACAAAGACAAAAACCAAACAGTCCCTGCCCTCAAGGAGCTTACATTCTATTGGGGAGATACAACATGTACAAGATAAGTAAATACAAAGTAATTTCAGGAGGCAGAGGGAACTAACACCCGGGGAGGGGGAAAGACTTGCCTAAGGAGGCGGCACCTGAGCTGAGCCTTTCTAGAGCTCGGGGGCAGGAGGGTGTGCATTCCAGGTGTGGGGGACACCCTGGCAAAGGCACCAAGACACAAGATGGAATGCCTCGTTCTGCTTAGCTCAGGGAACAGCCAGCAGGCCAGCACGGAGCATGTACGAAGCGGGAAGAGGAAGCGACGGCACAAGTGAGATGATCCTGGTCTGTCTGTCCTCTCCTCGTAAATACCAGCTTTGTTCTCCGTGTCCTACCTGACCTTGGGCAAAGTCTCTGTGAGCACCAGACCCGTGCCCTGCTCCCCCTGCCCCGCCCCCATCTACAAGATGAAGGGCTCGGCACCTGGGAGGCCGTACGCCGGCTGACAGAGGGAGGAGGAGGCCATGCGTGTACGGAGATCTTGGCTGGAATGCTGGCTTTGCCATTTACTACCTGCCCCACTGAATGAGTCACTGAACCTAGGGGCCTCAGACCAACGAGACAGCTGGCCTAGAAATGTCTAAGGCTTCTTTCAGGGGCTGGTCCTACAGTCCAAGTCACCACTACCTGCCTTTAAGTACTGGATCCATCTTTTCATCTCAAGACACGTTTCCTAGACACCCATGCTGTGCACGCTCAGTTGGATGGGCCTTATGCTCTTTGCCAAATTGTCTACCTCCTTCAGAGAGAAGCACACCACCATTAACGAGGGCCTAGATTATCAGCCCTCTCGCCACCTAAAACACCAAAGGCACGTCTCAGAAATGAAGACATTTCAAAATAACAAGCAGCCTGGAATTCTGTAGCAAGTAAAATACTTAAAATATATTTTGCTGAGGGGGAAAAAAAGTGCATTTCCCCTGGTACTATGGCCACTGTATATGTTAGCACAAATTATTCCCGAACGCCTAAACTTGGAAGGCGTGTGTGTGTGTGTGTGTGTGTCAGGGGGAGGGGCAGCCTCATCCAACAACAAAGAACAGTTTTCTAAGTGTCCAAAGTATCATTTCAAACAAGCACTCCTTGAATATGGGCCCTAGAGAATATGCAGCTGCTCATTTTGACAACATAAATAGTATTTTTTAAAAGGGACTATGAAAGGATCTAGGAAAGGTGCTGTTTCAGCCAGGACTGCTACACCAAGAAGGGGATCCCCCCAAATCAAGATCCCCACTGCCCATCCCTCACTCTCCCCTTTCCACAGCAAGAGTTCTCTGATGGCAACATTCTCTCACTTTTTTGTTTTGAATAGCACTCTCTCTGGCCTATTAACTGTTAAAACATCTTTAAAAAATACATGCAGATTATTATTCTTGAAATCATTTTCTTGTGAATGGCAGGAAACCACTCGGATCGATGCACAGCCAGATAAAGCGAGCCTTGGCCTCAGCTCTGCTTATTCTTTCTCCAAAATGACATATATGAAGTACATTTTCTCTCTTCAATTCAATCTAAGATTAAAAAAAGATGCGGTTTCACTTAAACTTGAAACCAACAGCTTAAACCCCACCCCGCCCCAATAAAACACCAAGAGGATGGTCATCGTGTGATGGCCTCAGACAGCAAGGGCGCACCTTTGTACACAGGGGTGTGATTCCACCTGTAAAGAACTGTCAGCCACTCCCTTCAGAGTGCCCATGGTGGGTTGTTCACATACTACAGCTGAAAACAACAACCTCTGCTAGTGTCTCATCTACAAGGCCGGGAGTCAGTGTAAACATACAGTTAATCCCTCAAGGAGGGAGTCCCCAGGAAGCCTGAAAAACACTGTTACAGCACCCAGGGGGCAAATCCCTGACCCAGACCCTGATCTTTTCCCAAGACCACGGTCTCTTTCCCTGTCTTTCTTTCCCCAGCTTCAGATTGCTTCTTAGCTCATGGCCACCTGGCTCAGCTTCGGGGTTTGCTGGGAGACATCTTATGTGGTTTGAAACAAAACCCCCCCAAACTGGTTTCACTAAGAGTTATTAATGGAGACAAGCAAACACGCCTTGGCCACGTGCCCAGCACACCCAAAAAATCAAGGCCTGCCTCCAGCGTACATCACAGAGGACAACCTAAAGGGTCTTCTGCTTAAACGAAGTCGGTCGCAACCACAAAGGGGATGGGGGAATTTCTTCTTTAATCAAACACACATATATACCTCTGAGACTTCAGTTACGGAATGATTCTCACAATAGTAAGAAGCAAAAGATCAAGCAAACCAGAAGAGAAAGTATTTATTTTGCCAGGCATGCACAGAGGTGCTGGCCACGCATCCCATCTGCCAGGGGTGTGGAGCAGCAAATGCACCCAGGATCCAAATACACCCAGGGTCTGTGACTGAGCAGAACTCTCAACCTTCCTCTTCTAAGAGCACAAAGAACAGAAGCCTGTGCGGGGCCTGGAGCCATGGGGAGGAAACTGCGTGACCTCTCCAGGGGACTACAGAAAAGAGCAGGGCAAAGGTAGCAGGGCCTCCCCTTCTCGACCTTGCTGCCCCTGCACCCCCAGTGCACACCCCGACCCTATCTGTGGCCCCACCTGAATGACTGACAAGCCTCAGCACGGCCCCTGGGAGAGGGAGCAGAAACACGCAAATGGGCTGCTCATAACACAAACACCCTCAACTTCCAAGACACTCCAGCTAAAACATACTCCCTGCCCACTCAATATACAAATAATATTTAAAAACAACAACAAAAGAAAATGAATGAGATGTTTTTCTCTCCCTCGTATTCAGTGTTACTCAAATCCCATTTCAGTTTGTGGGGAAAAGAACATTTTTTTTTAAAGCCACAAATCTAGAAAACCAGTTTGGGGATTTTTTTTTTCTTTCCTTCTTTTTCCTTTTTTTTCTCATTTTTTTTTAAACAATAAGTATTTATAGAAAGAACTTCACAAAGGTGATTTATATACAGAAATCACAATTCCAAAGGCTGCTTCAGTAGTCAGTGAAATAGCACCTTTTCAAGATGAGAGCTTTTACATGGTTTGAAAATCTGAGTAGTTTTTGCTTTTATAACGTAACGTTTAACCCTTCCTAGCCTAAGACAAGAGCCAGGCATCCATGTGCTCCGGGAATACAAGCTCTTCTAGAGCATCCAGGTGACATGCAATCTGAGAGGTTACCATCACTTCCTTTTCCTATTACCATCAGCAGTGTGTTCAGCAGAGTCGAGGTAGCCTGTGGCCAGACAAGTCTCTCGGATGGTCAAAATTAAATGTAGATGAAAGGAATTCACAGCAAGTTATTGCAGGGGGAAGGAGGAGGGGGGAAGGGAAGGGGCTGTCCACTTGTTCCACAGTTGCCTGGGTGCTTTGCTGGGATAAAGGGGTCAGGGTGGGGTTGGGGGGTGGGGGAGGTCACGAGATGTTGGTTCTAAAATTGTGTTTGTACTAAAACATGTGGCTCTGGGCTCCAGGCTGGTATTGTGACTGCAGGAGGCTCTCCATGAAGGCCAGGTAATCAGGATTCTGTCCACAGTCCTCAGAATTTCGGGCACTGCCCACCCTTGGGCGCTTTGCTGCCTTCACCTCCTCTCCTGAGGATACCTTCTCTTGCGGAGCACCCGTGCTGACAGACTGCAAAAACAGGAAATATGGCTCTGTTAGAAGGTGGGAGTTCAGGGAGAGCTGATACCTTTAGCCGAGCAGACAGCTGCACCGACTCTCAAACTGCCATCTGAGGGGTGGCTACGGCCTGCTGGCCTTCAACTTAGACAAGTACTGGCTTTAGCAATCATCTCACTCCTTCTGTGGTGGCGACAGGACTCAAACCCTGGTCCCCCTCAAATTCAGCGATCCCTGGCTCAAAGTCCTCAGGCAGACCCTTCCCACACATTTTCCTTTACCTCCTGCTTCCTGCTCAAAGAAAGCCCAAGGATTTTCTCCAACTTAGGGAAACTTGAGCAGCCTGTAGGGTAAAGACATTTCACAATACCCTGAGGATTTATGGCTAATGTTAGAAAAGACTCCAGGAAACTTCTTGCCTGTCTTTTCATCTTCTACACTAGTTACTTGTAAAACCAGAAATTAAGCAAAAAGCTTGGCTTTCCCCAAGTCCCAACAGAGACATTTTAAAAAAAGCAGTCAGTGCTTGTATTACCCACCAGTCTAGATTTGACTCTCTTGGGAAGCTCTCCTCAAGGGTGTAAATATCACCACGCTTCACCATCAGCTGGGAACCATCCTCAAACTCCACCTACAATGGAAGCAGAAACAAAGAATTGGATGCTCGCAGCCTCTGCTCCATGAAGGGAGGGGTCACGTCCTAGCTAAACTTCCTATCTCTCCCCAGAGCCTAGCATGACACTATGCACGTAGCATGGCGCTAACATTCACTGAATGAATGAAAGAGTGGTTGGCTCCTCAACTAGCACACAAACACTTTGGATCTTAGTTTGAATGTCTTGCCTTTAAGCAGAGATGCCACCCTAGCCCCTAGGTCATTCAGCAGAACAGTCCCGGTAGGGTGGCTGCAGTCTGACACCTAGATGAGGGAGCAGTTTATCTTCCCTGTCTGTATCCTCAGGCTCTGGACACCGGGGCTGCAGAAAGGCTCACTTTATAGGACAACTCTGGACTGACCTTAATGGAAGCTACAGGCAGAAGAGGACCTTCTGGCTACCCTCAACACCTTTTGAACTCAAGTCACAGACTAAGCATGGGAGGGGCTGGGGACAAGGTGACAGAACTTTGGGGCTGAAGTACTGCTCACAGAGCCTTGAGTTCCGCTATCAGCTGTCTGTGTGATATTCTGAATCTTAGTCTTTCTATCTGTAAGATAATGGGGATTAGACTAGGAGGAGCTCTGATGGCCCCATTTAGCTTTGAAATGTCTAAACCTAGGACTTATTCCCACAAACCTTTGGAAAAGGATGACTGTCCCCCTGCCATCCTTATGTAGAGCTTATCCTTTGACGAATGGCCTGTCTAGGATGGTGTCTAGCTCTAGCACTATTTGGTGGTGGTGACGACAGCTGCCAGGAGTCAAAAGACTACATTTGGCATGAACACCTTCAGCCCAGGGGCACACTAGTGTCAGTGTCCAGCCTAACGCTGTGTCCTCGGGACAGGTACATGAGAGCACTGCACGGCTCTGAAGCCATCACTCTGTAGTAAGTACCCTGGCAAGTTGGAGCACATTTTCCATAGAAGCTGAAGAAAAATCAGGAAGAAGTGGAGACCTAAAAGCACTCAAGGACTGGTTTAAGTAAACGGTTGTGTTTAGCTGGAGAAGAGACACCATTCCTGACACAAAGATTTGAAATGGCAAGGCAGAGAGAGGCTGGTCATGGCAGAGGCAGGACTCGAGGTCACAAACACCCCTCCTTATTAGCTCGGCAGAGAGGCGACCAGTTTGGGGATGCTACAGTGACCCCAGGGAACAGGTTCAGAGGATACCTGGGACTCAGCAGTCTAGGTTAGTTCCTACTGACATTTTATAAAAACTGCTTGTCAGCTGGGGAGGACATTCTATCCCACCATACAAGTTTTTGGGGTAACTGGGCAGACACCATCAAGCCATATGGGAAGTTCTGGGCCAGTTAAAGAAACAAGCTGTAATCACTAGGCTGTACTGGAATTCCTGCCACCCATTTAAAGACTGAAAGTATCTGAACTTATGTCATGTGGGATCAAACATCCTGGGACTAATGATCAGAAGAATAAGGTTCTTATCTCTGCTCTGCTATTGATTAAGGGTGACACTGGGCCAGTTACTTCTCTCTGGACCTTAGTTTTTCCCATTTGTAAGATGAGGGGTTTACATCCGATGTTCTGTCAGAGTTAAAAGAGATGTTAGAGACTACAATTTTTAAATAAAATCTAATATTAACATTCAAAAAACCTTAAAGTTGCCATTTTAAATAGAAATGAGGGAAGAAACAAATTTCTGTCCTATGCTTCTTTCACTAAGGATCACTCTCAGCTAGTCAGTAACTACTCCCCTTTAAATGGAACATTTTCATTCAAATTAAATAATTTTAGTTACCAAAATATGTTTTTATTTTAGCAAATGGTGGAAAAATCAGTCAGGTGTAAAGACCTGGGGTGTTAAATAATTTCATGCTCCCAACTGCTTTCTCTGATCACTGATTAGAACATGAATTATGTATCTGGGAATAGAAAAGAGATGTTTGTTTCAAAAGTAAAGAGTGGAAAATAATCCTGCCTCAAAGTCATCAGAGTCCTTCAGTTTAGGAAGAGGAGTTCTTCTGGATACTGCTCAGAGGACAGTGGGTTCTGTGCCACACACTGAACTCATGCCTCATGCATGCTAGCAGTAATAATGAAAATTATTAATAATAAAAAGTAACTAGTATGTACCAGGTACTGTGCTAAGTGCTGAGAACACAAAGCAAGGCAATAACCAAACAGTTCATGCTCTCAAAGAGCTCACAGTCTAGTGGAGAAGACAACACATAGGCAGGTGGCTCAGTGGACAGAGCACCAGGCCTGAAGTCTAAAGACGAGTCTTCCTGAGTTCAAATCTGGCCTCAGAGTGTGACCCAGGGTAAGTCACTTAACCCTGTTGGCCTCAGTTTCCTTATTTGTAAAATGAGCTAGAGAAGAAAATGTCAAAACACTCCAATATCTTTTGAAGACTGAACAACAACAGAATAAAACTTTGCTGTAAGAAATGACATGTGTGATGAATACAGAGAAGCATGGAAAAGAGCTAGATGAATTGATGCAGAGCAAAGAGCCAAGAAAACAACACACACAGTAACTGCAACACTCTAAATGGAAAGAACCACCATAAACCAAAAAGTCAAAAGTGAATGCAATAAAATTATAAAGATCAAGCATGACTTGAATGAAGAGAGATGAAAAGACACTCCCCTCTGTGGAGATGGGGGGGAGGGGTCCCCACAGGTATGATACATGCTTTTCGACTTTGTCAATGTACTGACTGGTTGTACTGATTTTTTTTCCTCTTTAAAAAACACTATTTGTTATATGAGATGGCTCACTGGGAATGGGAGGAGGAAGGATACTGGGGATGACTATGATGATGTGAGAAACAGAAGTAACTAATGTCAGCAACACCGGGGGTGAGTCAGGGTGAAATCTGTACAAATTCCCGAGTGATGGGTACTATTTACCCTGAAATGATCCTTCCTCTAAGCTTTGCCCATTTGCTCTCCTTCAGGATCTAGCTCAAATATAACCTTTTCTAGGAAACCTGCCCTCACCCTCCACAGACCTCTGCTCCTTCCCCTCCCTCCCCCCACCTCCCTACAGAAAGTCGGGTCTCCTCCAGTCTTCCAACCCAGAGCCACAGTGCCTTCTGCACTGCACTGGCACATCCTGCCTGCCTTCCTGCTATCACTATGTATGGACCTGCCCTGTAGTCTCTGTGAGACTGTAAATGGCAAGAGGCGAGGAAGCGCACTTTATTGACCTTTTTGTCTCTCAGAGTACATATCACAAGACCCTACATATAGCAAGCACTCAATAAACGTATAGGTAACTGAACCGTTCCCCCCAAAACACAGGATGGCTCTAAGTTCAGTTGTTGGGAGACAGACGCAATTTAGATAAGACCTACTACTTGTCCTCATGGAGCTCCTAATGGGAGATAAAACAGAATCAGATGTAGCTGTAAGACAAAGTATTATATGACGAGCGCACTTGTTACTAACTGGAGAGTGTATAAGCATGGAAGGACTCACACGGGAAGCAGTTTAGTTGGGCTTTTAAAGGATGGGTAGGAATCAGCAGGTAAAGTAGGGGAAAGAGTACATTCTAGGCCCAGAGAATGATGGGACTGAAAATAAGAAAGAAATGTACAGGGCACATTCTAGGACAGAAAGAAGTCTAGATCAGCTTGAATACATTACAGAAATTAATGGGAAAGAAATCTGAAATATAGCAAACATCTAGAAGTACTACTTTCTGAATTGTCACCAAACTACGATGAATCCACTATCAGCGACAAGACAACTTAGTGTGGTCTGCTTGAACTTCAGGACCTTCAAAATGACAGCGGCCAAACGCTGTTTCAACGCTGTGTCATTGTGAGTGGGGGTGCATGGGCCGGGCAGCTTGGCGGGATTCCTACGCTACCAGGCCACTAAGCAGTCTCCAGGAGTGCCAGCCTGCTGCTGTTTCCGCCTCTCCTCAGAACAGACTGACCCCGACTGGAATTCATCAATTACACAATTATCATTACTCACTGGCCTTACTCTTAACCAGGGGAAGGTATATCATATGATATAGAACGTCAGACCTAGAGAGTTCTTAGAGATTATCTAGTCAAATCCTATCAGTTTAAACAAATGAAATGTAGAAAGGGGCAGTAACCTGCCTAAGGTCACACAACTGACTGACGGCTGGGCTAGCACTCAGGCCGTGCCTTCTTGTACTCCCAAGTCAGTGTTCTTCCCATAGTACTGTGCAGCCCCCAACTATCAAAACTGGTCTGGGCTAATCTTGAGACTTCATCTCCTCTGCTCCCCCCCCCCATGAAGGCAAGAAACCCCTACATTCTTTCCTGGATACCAAAAACACAGGGTTATCACCTGGTAAGTCACTGTGGAAAGGTTACTCATGCCAGTTTAATTGCTTAATACTAGGATTCTTGAAATGATAGCGTGAATGAAGCAGTTTACTATGGCCAAACAGAGGGGTGGTAGTGTTTCTCTGATGTGTTCCTAAAATGCCTTACAAAGTCATACTGGGAGTTTATCACAGAGGACAATTTTGCTTGAATGACATTAAAAGCTGGGAAAGATCTTAGAAGTCATCAAGTCCAAATCCTTCATTGTATAGATGTGGAAACTAGAGCCCAGGGAGCGAAGGGTCACAAAGTGAACCCAGGCCTTCTGACTCTGAATATAGGCTCCTTCTACTCTACTCAAAGAGATAAAGGCTATAAACAGTAAAAGAAACAGTATAACAAACCTTCACCTGAGCTTTGGTGGAATACCTATGAGTTACAGTCCACAAATGAGGAACTGTCACCTGGGAAAACTTGTGTATTTAGTGCATCTTTAGAGAGGGCCTGATGGAGGATAAAGTGCTTTCTTCACAATAATACTGGAGAACAAATGGTATCTTATTCCCATACAAAGGGCAGGAAACAAAAGCTCTGAGAGGCGCCCTGCCTATGGGTGTGGAGATAACCCTTCTGGCTACAGCATACTACTCCAATTAGTGTGCTCACCTGGTTCCAACCTCTTCTCCAAACTGGTTTTC